GGAAAAAGGGGGCGGAGCGGGGGGGGGGGGGGGGGTGTCAACTTCCAATATTACATCATGTAATGTCATTTCTAGTGCTTGATGACCCAAATGATTCATGAAAATTTCTAAACTATTTATCAGCGCTCGGTGTTTAAAAGAAGTCTAGTGTTTTTTTGTTTTTTTTAGTTCCGAAAGTGCCCAAACACATTGCCATCAAATACTGTGATTAACTGTTGCGATGCATGAGTGCCATTTATCGATGAAATCCTGCATTCTTGCCCAAGCGGACATCCATTCCTTAATTATAGCTCTTGGAAGCGGCTCCTCTCTTCTTTTTTCTTTCTGGCCTAACGATTCGTCGCAGAAAGGGCGAATATTTACTTTTTGGGTAAATATCAAACAAATGTTTCAAAAAAAAAAAAAAAAAAAAAAAAAACAACAACAACAACTACACAAAAACAACAACAATTTCTAGGAAGACAAACCATGGCCAAAACTTGTAACTAAAGTTTGGCCATGGACAAACATTAGGTTGGACGAATATTGGAGTTCTACGACACACACCCACCCACACACACACACACACACACACACACACACACACACACACACACACATATATATATATATATATATATGAGAAAGAAGAAGAAATAATCGCTGCATAAAGTGCTAAAATACCTTCTCCATTGCTCTCCATGCGTGAGGCTGTATTGACCGTGTCACCAAACAGACAGTAGCGGGGCATCTTTAACCCCACAACCCCAGCCACAACCGGACCTGGATAAGACACCAACACCTGTGCTAACAATTAGTTCGCAATGCTGATTAATGTTCACGGGATTAGTACAATACATAGAAATATACAGGGGTGCCTAGTTGCGCATGCATATTAGCTCACTTTTTCCAGCGAGGCGCTGCAGTCTTTCAGAGGTAACAGGTTTGATTTATGGCATGGTAACTATGGCTTTCGATTGTCATTTTGTCTAGTGCAGTGTTCCTCAACCTGTTGAGAGCTGCGACACATCAAAACAGTGACAGTTGTTTCGCGGCCCATTTGACAGCTAACCACACACGAAACAAACATAAATGTAGATATCAGTCCATTTGTTAAATAGGATTCCTCAAAATTACAATGATTAACTAATGCTATCTCTACTGCAGGTTAGAGGTTAAATATTTGATATTGATAATTGACTGGAGCGTTGTTTCTGATGTAGGATGCGACACAATAACACCCATTCGATTTCTTTGCTGGGTTTGAGTTTTTTTTTTACACAAATAGGAAGTCCTTGCGGTATTATTCCTGCTGACTGGAAGGGGCAAGCCACTTACTCTACTTTGGCCCACATAGACTGTTCCACGGCCCACATAGACTGTTCCACGGTCCACATAGACTGTTCCACGGCCCATTAGTTGCCCGCGACCCATTGGTTGGAGATTAAATGTCGCCGATTCAACGTCGTCTTCTGAATCATATTCTCGTCCTGCCTTTTAAGAGTATTTAGAATGTAGGCCTGATCCATTGGTTTACCTGTACCTTTCGTGGCCCTGCCAGCAAGCCAATCCGCTTATTCATTCCCTCTCACCCCAGTTTCCTGAAACAAAAATTAAACTAATTCTTTTCAGACGAAATTTCCTCAGCGACTCCAACCATTTTCTTCTAATCCACCCAGTCTCTATCTTCTTCAGCGTGCTCATGGAATCCCGTTGAAAGCACACATGGGAAAAATGCTGTCTCTAGCCACATCATTGCTTTTGTTACCGCCATCACCTCCATGGCTAGACTACTTGTCGATTAACTAACCAACCAACCAACCAGCCAACCAGCTAACTAATTACCCAACCATTGATTAAATAACACTGGTTTAGTGTGTTCCTGTCTTTCTACTTCTTAGTGTAGTGTCAGTCAGTATAGGTATATTTACGAAAAATGATCTACTACATTGGAATCCGTATATTAAGTACTACTGCTTGAAGTCGGGAGTCGTTTTCGATGAGTTGAGAGGACAAGAGCCTTATCAGAGCCACCCGTTGGTTTGCTTGCTTTTCGAAAAAAATTACCAACTTCAAGCAGCATTTCCGGGAGAGCTTTAGGTTATAATTGTGACTAGGTTATTTGCGCCATATAAAACGGCTTAGCCAACATATAGCTCTGAAAAAGAAAAACCTCTTGCAGTATTATTGCACCAAAGAAGACAAACCCAAATACTGTCCCAACCGGTGACGAAGTCGTCTACTGGCCAGCCAGGGGCAACCCGGTCTCCAATGAGCCACCCACTTCCAAGGACCGAGTTTAAATCAAGACTGCGAAGTAGCTACAATGACTTACCCATTGCCCTAATTTAGTGAACGTTTGTGAACGTAAGCAGACTCACTCACCTGAATGTAATCCAATTCTCAGCTGTAATTTATGTTCTGGCTTGTGAGGCACTTCAAACCTGGCCACTTCCCGTAACAGTTGCAGGGCCAGTCTGGCAATGTGCAAAACATGGTCTTTCCCATTCCTCAGTGGCAGGCCGGAGACGACCATGTAAGCGTCGCCGATTGTCTCAACCTGAAGAAACGGTTTACATTCTTGGCTTTAAAATTTAACCTCATACTTAACCCGGACACACCGAAAACGTTATAGAATCTGAGGTATAACCTCATGATCAACGTGTACACAGAGGAATTGTACATTTCGAAATATTACCTTGGCTCAACCTGTACACATTGTACATATTGTTGACTCTTATATATTATCTTCAGTTTAACATGTATATGGAGCTGCCGTGGTGAAGAGGCTGGAGGCTTGCATTCGGATCCGAAAGTCGTTTGCGTGCACCGGCTGAAAGTTCTGGTTGTTCATCCACTTCTGGTTTGTAGTTTTATTCCAGAACTTGAGTATTGCGTGTATATCCGTTTTACAGATCTGACTCATTTGTATGCAGACTCTTGATACCTTGCAGATGCACTCTGACATCAACATCAGCAACCGAAAACAGACATTCGGCATTCAACACCCAAACTACCAGGACAGCCTGTTAATGGAATACACCTTCTCCGCGACTTAGACCTTCATGGCTTAACGACCACCTGCAGCTACCACCAGTGGGGGAAAAGTAAATAAAGAAAGATAGCTACATTGGCAAAGCTAGATACATTGACAAAGATAGATACAGTGACAAAGCTAGATACATTGGCAAAGCTAGATACATTGACAAAGCTAGATACATTGACAAAGCTAGATACATTGATAAAGCTAGATACATTGACATAGCTAGATACACTGACAAAGATAGATACATTGACAAAACTAGATACATTGACAAAGCTAGATACATTGGCAAAGCTAGATACATTGACAAAGATAGATACAGTGACAAAGATAGATACAGTGACAAAGCTAGATACATTGACAAAGATAGATACATTGACAAAGCTAGATACAGTGACAAAGCTAGATACATTGACAAAGCTAGATACATTGGCAAAGCTAGATACATTGACAAAGATAGATACATTGACAAAGATAGATACAGTGACAAAGCTAGATACATTGACAAAGATAGATACATTGACAAAGCTAGATACATTGACAAAGCTAGATACATTGGCAAAGCTAGATACATTGACAAAGCTAGATGCATTGGCAAAGCTAGATACATTGACATAGCTAGATACATTGACAAAGATAGATACATTGACAAAGCTAGATACATTGACAAAGCTAGATACATTGACAAAGCTAGAAATATCAAACAGACGGTGGGAACAACACCATGCAGCAAATTCATTGAGAAACAGAAGATCAAATGGTTTGGCCATCTAGTAAGGATGCAGCCAGAACAACTACCAACACAGACGCTACACATGAAAAGATCTTAAATGAATGGAAGAGGCCGCCCTTGAAGATAGATTGATAATAGTAAAGAGCTTCTATATCGACACAGAATGACAATAGCCATTGTTGCACATCAGGCAATGGATCGCAAACTGTTCCTCCCCACAACGCTTAACGGCAGAAGTGAATATTTATGAGGATGATGATAAACTAAGTTGGCAGGGTCAAAACGCTCCCGTAAGTGATGCTTACAGTAGAGTATGTATAATAATGACAACACGTACAAAGACTGCATTTGTGTATTTTATGTACAATGTGTAAAACCCGTTTGAATTAAAACCAGTGCTGAGAATAATATTTTTTTTTCGACTTACGACCTGTTAGTGGGAATTGAACTCGGTCGCAAGTCGAGGGTGAACTTTTTGCTCAATTTATTGCCCGGCATACTTCGCTACATCTCGTCAGGTACATATTAAAGTAACAATTTTTGAAAATGAAGCAAATAAATGAATCCTTCAAAAGAAAACACACGATCGACTTCATACACAAGTAACTGCCTGTTTCATAAGGGCAAATATATATACAAGTAACTTCCTGTTTCACCAGAGCAACTACATACACAAGTAACTGTCTGTTTCACCAGAGCAACTACATACACAAGTATCCACCTGTTTCACCAGAGCAACCACATACACAAGTAACTGTCTGTTTCACCAGAGCAACTACATACACAAGTATCCACCTGTTTCACCAGAGCAACTACATACACAAGTATTCACCTGTTTCACCAGAGCAACTACATACACAAGTAACTGCCTGTTTCGTTAGGGCAACTATATATACAAGTAACTGCCTGTTTCACCAGAGCAACTACATGCACAAGTAACTGTCTGTTTCACCAGAGCAACTACATACACAAATATCTGCCTGTTTCACCAGAGCAACTACATACACAAGTGTCTGCCTGTTTCACCAGAGCAACTACATACACAAGTATCTGCCTGTTTCACCAGAGCAACTACGTACACAAGTATCTGTCTGTTTCACCAGAGCAACTACATACACAAGTATCTGCCTGTTTCACCAGAGCAACTACATACACAAGTAACTCTGTTTCACCAGAGCAACTACATACACAAGTAACTGCCTGTTTCACCAGAGCAACTACATACACAAGTATTCACCTGTTTCACTAGAGCAACTACATACACAAGTAACTGTCTGTTTCACCAAAGCAACTACATACACAAGTATCCACCTTTTTTACCAGGGCAACTACATACACAAGTATTCACCTGTTTCACCAGAGCAACTACATACACAAGTAACTGTCTGTTTCACCAGAGCAACTACATACATGTATTCACCTGTTTCGCCAGAGCAACTACGTACACAAGTATCCACCTGTTTCACCAGAGCAACTACATACACAAGTAACTGCCTGTTTCACCAGAGCAACTACATACACAAGTATCCACCTGTTTCACCAGAGCAACTACATACACAAGTATCCACCTGTTTCACCAGAGCAACTACGTACACAAGTATTCACCTGTTTCACCAGAGCAACTACATATACAAGTATCTGCCTGTTTCACCAGAGCAACTACATACACAAGTATCCACCTGTTTTACCAGAGCAACTACATATACAAGTAACTGTCTGTTTCACCAGAGCAACTACATACACAAGTAACTGTCTGTTTCACCAGAGCAACTACATACACAAGTAACTGTCTGTTTCACCAGAGCAACTACATACACAAGTATCCACCTGTTTCACCAGAGCAACTACATACACAAGTATCTGCCTGTTTCACCAAAACAACTACATACACAAGTATCCACCTGTTTCACCAGAGCAACTACATATACAAGTATCTGCCTGTTTCATAAGGGCAACTATATATACAAGTAACTGTCTGTTTCACCAGAGCAACTACATACACAAGTAACTGCCTGTTTCGCCAGAGCAACTACATACACATTAACTACCTGTTTCATAAGGGCAACTACATACACAAGTATCCACCTGTTTCAACAGAGCAACTACGTACACAAGTATCTGCCTGTTTCACCAGAGCAACTACATACACAAGTATCTGTCTGTTTCACCAGAGCAACTACATACACAAGTATCTGCCTGTTTCACCAGAGCAACTACATACACAAGTATCTGTCTGTTTCACCAGAGCAACTACATACACAAGTATCTGCCTGTTTCACCAGAGCAACTACATACACAAGTATTCACCTGTTTCACCAGAGCAACTACATACACAAGTAACTGCCTGTTTCACCAGAGCAACTACATACACAAATATCCACCTGTTTCACCAGAGCAACTACATACACAAGTATTCACCTGTTTCACTAGAGCAACTACATACACAAGTAACTGTCTGTTTTACCAAAGCAACTACATACACAAGTATCCACCTGTTTCACCAGAGCAACTACATACACAAGTATCCACCTGTTTCACCAGAGCAACTACATACACAAGTATCCACCTGTTTCACTAGAGCAACTACATACACAAGTAACTGCCTGTTTCACCAGAGCAACTATATACACAAGTATCCACCTTTTTCACTAGAGCAACTACATATACAAGTAACTGTCTGTTTCACCAGAGCAACTACATACACAAGTAACTGTCTGTTTCACCAGAGCAACTACATACACAAGTAACTGCCTGTTTCACCAGAGAAACTACATACACAAGTAACTGCCTGTTTCACCAGAGCAACTACGTACACAAGTATCTGCCTGTTTCACCAGAGCAACTACATACACAAGTATCTGTCTGTTTCACCAGAGCAACTACATACACAAGTATCTGCCTGTTTCACTAGAGCAACTACATACACAAGTAACTGCCTGTTTCACCAGAGCAACTACATACACAAGTATCCACCTGTTTCACTAGAGCAACTACATACACAAGTAACTGTCTGTTTCACCAGAGCAACTACATACACAAGTATCCACCTGTTTCACCAGAACAGCTACATACACAAGTATCCACCTGTTTCACCAGAGCAACTACATATACAAGTATCTGCCTGTTTCATAAGGGCAACTATATATACAAGTAACTGTCTGTTTCACCAGAGCAACTACATACACAAATAACTGCCTGTTTCACCAGAGCAACTACATACACATTAACTGCCTGTTTCATTAGGGCAACTACATACACAAGTATCCACCTGTTTCAACAGAGCAACTACGTACACAAGTATCTGCCTGTTTCATAAGGGCAACTATATACACAAGTGACTGTCTGTTTCACCAGAGCAACTACATACACAAGTAACTGCCTGTTTCACCAGAGAAACTACGTACACAAGTAACTGCCTGTTTCACCAGAGAAACTACATACACAAGTAACTGTCTGTTTCACCAGAGCAACTACATGCACAAGTATCCACCTGTTTCACCAGGGCAACTACATATACAAGTAACTGTCTGTTTCACCAGAGCAACTACATGCACAAGTATCCACCTGTTTCACCAGAGCAACTACATATACAAGTAACTGTCTGTTTCACCAGAGCAACTATATACACAAGTATCCACCTGTTTCACCAGAGCAACTACATATACAAGTAACTGTCTGTTTCACCAGAGCAACTATATACACAAGTATCCACCTGTTTCACCAGAGCAACTACATACACAAGTAACTGTCTGTTTCACCAGAGCAACTACATACACAAGTATCCACCTGTTTCACTAGAGCAACTACATACACAAGTAACTGTCTGTTTCACCAGAACAACTACATACACAAGTATCCACCTGTTTCACCAGAGCAACTACATACACAAGTATCTGCCTGTTTCACCGGGGCAACTACATACACAAGTATCCACCTGTTTCACCAGAGCAACTACATACACAAGTATCTGCCTGTTTCATAAGGGCAACTATATACACAAGTAACTGTCTGTTTCACCGGGGCAACTACATACACAAGTATCTGTCTGTTTCACCAGAGCAACTACATACACAAGTATCCACCTGTTTCACCAGAGCAACTACATACACAAGTATCTACCTGTTTCATAAGGGCAACTATATATACAAGTAACTGCCTGTTCATAAGGGCAAACGCACGTTATCAAATATTTTTACCTGCATTTGGCAGAGGTGGAAACGGATTTGAAAAAACAGTGCTTACCTTGTAAACATCAAAGTTTTCTATGGCTGCGTCAAATTTGGAATAGAGCGCGTTCAGAAGCTCCACAACCTTCAAGATGTGGTCAGTACAAGATGTGGTCAAACAAGATGTGGTCAATACATGATATGGTCAGTACGAGATGTGGTCAATACAAGATGTGGTCAATACACGAAATGGTCAGTACAAGATGTGGTCAATACATGATATGGTCAGTACAAGATGTGGTCAATACACGATATGGTCAGTACGAGATGTGGTCAATACTGGATGTGGTCAGTACACGATTTGGTCAATACAAGATGTGGTCAATGCAAAATGGGGTCAATACAAGATGTTGTCAGTACAAGGTGTAGTCATTACAAGATGTGTCCAATACAAAATGTGGTCAATACAAGATGTGGTCAGTACAAGATGGGGTCAATACAAGGTGTGGTAAATACATCATCAACATGTACCTGCCAACTGGCGTAGGCGCTCATGCGTTTCCACAGATCACGATCCCTGGGTGCCAGGAACAGCTCTCTTGATGTGTCCCTACCGGACGAGGCTGTCCTTAGACTTCTATTAACGTCGTTCATCGTGTGATTCAGTCTGTGTTTTTTCATGAGATATCTTGGGAATATAATGTGGTGGTTTCTGGTTGCCCTCCATATCCACATGGGGTATTTAAACCTGCACTTTTGAAAGTAACTTCAGATAACCCCTCGCGTCCCTTTTAGGACGTAATTTTTTGTTATTTGAAGCCCCAGTCTGGCTTTTGCCAGGGGCCGCAATATAGGCAGGCCATCAATATGGCCAATTGTCTGAACGCGGTTTCTGGGACCTCTCCACTGCGATCCTCATCCACATGGTGGCACTTTGTGTCATCGGGTGTTTATCGCTTGTGTGATGTCCTAGTGGGGTGGAAAGTCAGTCAGTCATAGTAACTTCAGATATATTGGCAAAGCTAGAAATATCAGACAGACGGTGGGAACAACACCATGCAGCAAATTCACTGAGAAACAGAAGATCAAATGATTTGGTTATCTAGTAAGAATGCAGCCAGAACATCAGGACAAGTGGGTGCCCTTCTCTGCCTTGCTGCGGAGTGATCCACTTATTCCGGTGGATACTCTGTACCCATATCTGCGTTAGCCATACCGTGGAGTATTTCCCACCCTCAACCACCTGCTTGGAGCTGCAGTCTGGGATTTTCCCTTTGTCAAATTTGAGACCAAGATGGCATTTCTCAAACTTTCTAGGTACTTTGGTAAATACAAGATATAGTAAATACAAGATGTGGTACATACAAAATGGGGCCAGATATAGACACACCGCATTATGATTTACAACATATAATAACTAATAAGATACATAATCGATATTCATGTTCACAGTATAATATTTTTAGTCAGTTAAAATCATGCTTCAAGTTTACAACAAGAGATATGTGGATTAATGGACAATATTAACATATAGAAACATTCTTCAGGATTAAAACATTGATTCATACGGGTTCCGGGGCTCCATTAGACTCACCCCCTCTTAGCAAATATGTCGTAAAAGGCAACAAATTAGGGGTTTGTCCTTCGATGTTGGAGTACATTTGCCTAAAAGATGAAGAGCCAACAGTCTACATACAAATAAACCAAGTCTGTAAAATGGGTGTGCACGCAATACTCAAGTTGCGGAACAGGTTTAAAGTCCAGATATTTTAAGTACTTTTTTTTTTCTTACTACCAACACAATGGGTCGAACACAGAGAGCAGGGGATTTCAGCTGGAGGCCCGCGGGCTGAATATGGCCCGCAGAAAACTAGCAAGTGACCCGCGAATCGTTATCAATTGTATCGTATTATTAATCTTCATATGGGGCTCAGGCCATTGGCCACGGAATAAACGTAGTCGAATAGCCGTGACCTAGAGACTACAGGACGCTACAGCTGACCTACTGACCTCCAGCGGAGAGCTGACTGCAGATAGCGAGGTGAAGCCAACGATGTCCGAGAAGTAAATCGAAACCATCTCATAGCTTTCCGGCTCCACTGGCTGACCTTGTTTGAGCTTTTCTGACACAGACCTGTGAAGAAAGTCTAGAGTAGTTACCCCTTTTGACCAGACAAATGGTGTCTTTACAGACGCAGATCTTGGAGTCAAGAAGGGGGAAAAGAATACATGTTCTAAAATAAATGAGACTAACAAAGACAGTTGACATGTGTAGGTCCCATTAGATATCGTCTTTCCTTTTTTTCTACATGATAGTAGAATTCCAGTATGCAAAATGAATGAAGGCATGGCAATCCCAGCAGGCTGTAAGTGGCAGGTTGAAGGCCTTAGTCTCCTACCTCCCCTATAAGGTTGTTGAGTATCCTTTACAGGACGTTGCAGAACCAACCCCACAGCCCCCTGGCTGTTGTGTGGGTTTTCTAGGCAAATTTACGTGCAGTAAAGATTCGAAAAATATTTAATTTGCTTTGCAAAAGGATGAATTTGGCATGCCAATCCTGTAGCACAATACTCGGACGCGTTTAACAGTTTCGTTTGGAAAGACGCAAAGATGCGAACAAAATATGACGTCCAGAAAGGGAGATACTGATGCAATTAAAAAAAAATGAAAGAGAGAAGGTTGGATACAGCAACTCCCACTCCCACAAACACTTACATGCAAACACAGACACAAAAACAAACCACATTATGATAACGAAAAAGCCAGATAAAAACATAAGATGGTGGGGATTATATTCCTAGTTTCCTCAGATAAGGGTCTACAGCAGAAAGTCCTGTGTAAATTATGTTCGTCACACACCAGACTTTCTGGTCTTATCTTTCTTTAGAGCCTAGAAGTCAGGCCAGGAGAGCAAGTATGCTGCAGTGCATAGTATGTACAATAGGGCCCAGACTTGGTGCTGTTGAGAAGAGAAGCTTTATCTATAACCTCAGTTACTTATTACCATGTACCACGATCGCCAAGCATCCCTTCAGCACAGGAGCTCTCAACCTTCGTAATGCTGCGACCCTTCAGCACAGTGGCTCTCAACCTTCGTAATGCCGCGACCCTTCAGCACAGGGGCTCTCAACCTTCGTAACGCCGCGACCCTTCAGCACAGGGGCTCTCAACCTTCGTAACGCCGCGACCCTTCAGCACAGGGGCTCTCAACCTTCGTAACGCCGCGACCCTTCAGCACAGTGGCTCTCAACCTTCGTAACGCCGCGACCCTTCAGCACAGGGGCTCTCAACCTTCGTAATGCCGCGACCCTTCAGCACAGGAGCTCTCAACCTTCGTAATGCCGCGACCCTTCAGCACAGGGGCTCTCAACCTTCGTAACGCCGCGACCCTTCAGCACAGTGGCTCTCAACCTTCGTAACGCCGCGACCCTTCAGCACAGGGGCTCTCAACCTTCGTAATGCCGCGACCTTTCAGCACAGTGGCTCTCATCCTTCGTAATGCCGCGACCTTTCAGCACAGTGGCTCTCATCCTTCGTAATGCCGCGACCCTTCAGCACAGTGGCTCTCAACCTTCGTAATGCCGCGACCCTTCAGCACAGGGGCTCTCAACCTTCGTAACGCCGCGACCCTTCAGCACAGTGGCTCTCAACCTTCGTAATGCTGCGACCCTTCAGCACAGTGGCTCTCATCCTTCGTAATGCCGCGACCCTTCAGCACAGGGGCTCTCAACCTTCGTAATGCCGCGACCCTTCAGCACAGGAGCTCTCAACCTTCGTAATGCCGCGACCCTTCAGCACAGGGGCTCTCAACCTTCGTAACGCCGCGACCCTTCAGCACAGTGGCTCTCAACCTTCGTAATGCCGCGACCCTTCAGCACAGGGGCTCTCAACCTTCGTAATGCCGCGACCCTTCAGCACAGTGGCTTTCATCCTTCGTAACGCCGCGACCCTTCAGCACAGGGGCTCTCATCCTTCGTAATGCCGCTACCCTTTAATGTAGTTCCTCATGTGGCCACTCTGAAACACTGTTTCCTTCATAACTTCAATGAATATGTTTATTCCGATGGTCGTATACGACTCCTGTGAAAGGGTCGTTCGACCTAAAAAAGTGTCGCGACCGGCAGGTTGAGAACCTCTGCTTTAGCACAATTGTAGCACAGCTCTCTTCTTCGTTGCGTACGTTGATATCACACCCAGGTTCGTCTTTAGGTTTGCTACAGGAGGAGTCGATTGGAAGATTATAGACGAGGAGAAAGATGGTCGTGTTGATAGTGGTTATGATGATTATGTCTTGCTAGCTGCATGCTTCTCACGTGACTCTGGTGCTTGTATAATAAAATGCCTGGAAACAACAGTTCTTGTCTATACTGTCTTTATTGTGATACTTCAACAATGTCACAAATACATCAATGATATTCTGAATAGCGCTGTGTTCTCTCTAGTGTTACTTAGGTTCTAGTGTCTCTAACTGCCACCTGGCTTCTAGTGCTGTTTGGTACTAACGTCTTGAGCGTTGACTCTAACATCTCTATAGTTCCTACCTAATGTGTCTCTGTTAACCATGGATCCATGTATCTTGTGTATCGTCTCTGTAGCTCGATGTCTCGTTTCACTTCTGCTCTCCAGTGACTGTCTTCGATGTTCCATATGAACGGCTGCTCTGCTTCCATTGTTGAGCTGGCATCGAGGATCATTGAGTCTAGTCGCTCGTCCTCTAAGTCTCAACGACTGAAGGCTTCTAGTGTTGGGCTAACCTCTCTACCACTGATGGCTGTCTTGAGAGTCCATGACTGGTCTCTCCTCTCTTGAGTCTTGTGGACTGAAGAATTGCTAAAGTGCTTTGTTACTCGCTATTTATACTTGGATGCTGGAATGCTAGGTACTTGTTTTCTTCTCGTTTTGTCTGCTTCTAGAATATTCTAGTACGCCTCAACTTGTTTACTAGGTAGGTTCTCACATGGGATTTGCTAATTATATCTCGATTGCATCAGATTTCATCATCCTATTCTACGCAGATATAGTAGTTAAACTGACAATTGAGGTCATAGAAGCTTCTAGATAACAAGGACAATTGCGTTTGCCTTGATATGGCACGTCAACAAGGTATTCACTAGTACGACAAGGTTGGGTCACATGATGAAAAGAATGCATTTCAAAACTTCTAGAAAGAAGGCCAAGGCCAAACAGCCTCAGTTTGATGTCAATAGCTTGTTTTGGCGGGAAAAGAAGATTCTGGAAGAGGAAATGTCAATGCTGTCAAAACTTGTTGATTTTCAGTACACCATAACTCTACATAATAACCCGCTTCCTACAAACAAGTAATGGTTTAACTGTGTTACACAATATAACACTATCGACTGGAAAAGCACAAAGGGGTGACTAAACCGTATTGAAGGTGCAAACAGCACAGAGTATGTCTCAAGACCATTGTCCTGTCAGATTAGTTTGATAAATCTTCCCAAGGGTAAACAAGTGTCTCTACCTTGGTTGAGATTAATTAATTTGGGGAAAATCATCATCCTTTGCAGAACGTCGCTCTAATCGCGGTCTGCTTAAAGAAACAAGTCTCTGGCAAGCTCTCCCGCCTTGCGTGCCAGTATATTCAAGGAGTCACCCACACCCTGTGCCCATCTTCGTGCTGGTCGGCCCCTGCCTCTTCTTCCTAACACCATGCCCATTGCTATTATTGTTTCCCAATCCATTATGGCGCTTTATATGACGAAGATATGTCAACTTCTGAGGCAAGATGCTGTTTATTAGCCAATCTTCTTTGATGTTCAGATCTTTTAAAATGTCAGTATTTGTTCTCTTCTTTGTCCATTGTATTCAGCGCAAAAGTCCCTGTTTTCTATGTTAAGGATATAGGCCTGAAGGAAATCCACAAACTTAATGCCGAAGCTGAATTCACTGTATTTTGAGGTGCACAGTTCGCCACCACGGACCTGTTCAGCAGAGAGGTGACGAAGAAACAATGCGATCACAGTTGATAATTTGAAGACGTACCTTGGTAGTATTTCATCTAGCAGCATCTCGGATTTTCTTTTCTCCAGGACGAGTTGCTCTGTTCTATCTTGTACCAGGTCCTCTAGATTACTCGTGTAGTCTTCCAGTCTGGAGAGCAGACGATCCACGAGGGCCACCTCTTTACCCCTAGACAGCATACGGATATAGTTGTGATATAGTTACATATGTAAGATAAGTTAAATAATTTAATCTTCTTCTTCTTTTTCTCGTTCATCAGCTGTAAACTCTGGCGGAAAGATCTGGTTGCTCATCCACTTCTAGACTGCAGTCCTCTTCCAGATCCTGAATGTTGCGAGTGCATCCATTTTACACATCTGACTCATTTGTATGCAGACTGCTGGTTCCTTGCCTCTCATGCAGATTCAATCTGACTTTAAAGGAAGCCCCCAATTAGTGTACTCTTACGACATACTTTTAGGTAGGCAGTGGGTCTATTCTTGTTTTCCCTATAACAGGGCCTCGGAACCCCCACGGGGAACTAATGTAATAAATAGATAGCAGTATGAGAGAGATGACAGCTCTGAAATAGCACAGTAAAAAGATAAATGACACTTCTGCGGTGGTTTTAGATTAGACGACGAATCAACATCATAGCACAAGGGGTAACCCGTAAGTGCTCCGTTTTACTTCTAACTCAAGCCTAAGTCAAAAGAATCTAAGCTCAGTGCACTAACTCCGAAGCACCGGCGAGGGTTCTGAAATACTTTGGGTAGATTTTTGACTCAAAATATTCTTTTTTATTGCCAACTGCCAACATATTTTTTTACATGCGCAACAATACACACGGGCGTCCAAACTTACTACCCGGAGACCAGGGGAAATTACTAGAAGTCCACGTAAACAATTCACAGCCTTCATCGGGGCCTGAACCCGGGCCCTCCAGCACTCGAGGCGGATGCATAGAAGATAGTAATACGATAGATGAACAAGACCAAGAAAACGATGGAGATATAATATCAAGACAGACCTACAAACACTTGTTATCCACTAGAAAGAGAAGGCTAACCAGAACGATACATGTAGACTGGTGATATCTGCAGCAATGAGCCTCAAA